AGAGGTGCAAATTGTTCTGATCCAAGTCTAAGCCCACTAACCATCCTTTTTTGCTTGGTGCTCTTTTTTTTGTCACTGAATTGATAATGTCAACAAGTACACTACTCAAGAAAAAGCCCAAAGAAATTGAAATCCATGTAAATGAAGTGGATAAGGACCTCATTCCAACAGGTGCTTCTTTGTAGAAAAATTCAAGTAAGCCCACTAAGGTAAACATGTCCGCTATACCAAAAATAGAATATTGAAATCCAAGCCAAGCTAGGTGAATTGGGTGCAATGGATCTTTCAATGAATGGTGCTTTCTTTTGATCTCAACTAGGGCAGCAACAGCCATTGACACGATCGAGAGGACTAGCCCAACCCCAACGCGTTGGAGTTGAGTGATCCCTGAGGGGTGTTTGGTGATTTTTCGAGCAAAGGGGACGAAAACCATGTCATAAATTGGAATGAGAATACACATGATGATTAGTGGGATCGCGGGCACTGAGGGTGCTGGTACCTCGAATTTCTTAATGAAACGGTTCATTCGATAGCCTTGTGCTACGGAGAATGTTTGGAGTTGGGCCATACATGTGTTCATTATAATGGTACTAGCTATGATGGGTAACATTCTTGTTAATACTTTAACTTCTTCAACTTGTGTCACAGTGCAAACTGTCCATGGTGTAGGCTCACCTGTTTTAGGATGGATTGCAGCTTTGTCTAAAAACCTGATTCACAATATAGGAAAAGTTACTACATGTCCAATAGCTAGGTAGCACGCAGCTTTGTCTAACAAATCTATAAAAAAATTTTGGATGACTTGATTATGTAAATTATTTATAATGACAACGTCTATTGTGGGTTCCCTTTTAATTTTGATCTTCCCTCTTGCTTTTATTCCGTTAAAGTTTAAACCAAGAGTGCTTTTATTTATGACAAATAAGAATCAATACACGTATGCAAGAATAACATCACCTGAATTGTTTAGTATGTGCAAGTTTTGGCTGTGATGAGTCTGATTCTTTCTCACTAATCTCATACAGCTCCTCACTGTTTTCTGGTAATTGCAGCTTTCCATTATTTATTGCCACAACAATAACCTGAAAAATTCAAAATACCATTAGGCTTGAAATTCGATCTTTGATTAAGAGTAAAGTGATTTAGATCATACGCGCCACAATAGTGGTGGTGGTTATTTTATTTCAAATAGTATAAATCCAAAAAAGAAATAAGAGAATAAATTAATTAACCTGGAAAATTCTAGTAAGTGGACTGCCAGCAGGTTGTTGAAGTCTAAAAAAAGGCTTTCCCAAGGCAAAGAAAATAAAACCAAGTGTGACAGAAACCAAACTTATGAGAAAACCTTTCCACCAAGCTTTAACTGTACTAACATAGACAACAAATGTCACCCCAAATGCTCCACCAATCACTGAACTAAACATGAGCAAATTGAAATATCTTCCAAGAGCTTTAGCTTCCTTTGGATCCTTCTGATCAAATTGGTCAGCACCCAATGCTGGCAATGCTCCTTTAACCCCACCACCACCCAATGCAAAACAACAAAGTGATGCATAGAAGAATATAGCTTTCTTTCCTGATATACAATTTGGTTCCAAACATAATGGCTGTAAACTCTTATAATGAGCTTGAATTGTTATCAATGCAAACGCCTACAATAATCATCATCATCATCATAAATTATCACTTCTTCGTAAAAATAACTTTTGTCATACCAAATTACATGCCATAATTACTAATATTGAACTTACTATAATTTCGAAGGGTCCAAAAATGAGGACAGTGTGGAATCTGTTGATGTAAGTATCAGAAATGAAGCCACCAAGAATGGATAGCAAGAATGTTGAGCCCATCAAGTTAGTGAGAGTATTCGCTGATCCACTCAGATCAAAACCCATCACAAAACTGAAGTACAAACCAAAACTCACCATCACTGCCACAAAACCCATGTTTTCCAATCCCAACAAACCTACAAATAAATTTCACAAATATTCAACACCAAATAGTACAACAATATATCCAGTGAAATTTCACCAGTAGGATCTAGGAAGGGTAGAATATACACAAATCTTATCACAACCTCGTGGAGATATAGAGAGGTTGTTTTAGAAACATCAAAGACATGATTACATATTAATGAACAAGTTCATATATAGCTAGCTAGCTAAAACTGGAAAATTCCTTACCAAAGATAAAGGAGGTAGCTCTAAATCCGCCTTTTCCTTGAACTTTCAATGAACTCACAGAATTATACTCTGTGATTTTACCCTCCTCCTAATTAATAACACACAAAACAAATTAATTAGCATAATTAATTTATAGTGCCTTTTTTAGGGAATTAAGCAATAACTTAATTACCATGACTGCAGAGAGTTGAGAGGATTGCCAATAAAGGCCGCCAAAGTATTTTTTTAAGACTTTGGTTTTGATAGATGAAGAATTAGAGTTAAAATGCGAAGAATATATAAAGCATCAAAAGAGTGGGGAGCGTTGCATGTAACGTTGGTGGCATAAAATTTATCGATTTCCTGTTGGTGTCGTTTTCATTCTCTTTCTCATTGTTCATCAATAAGAAAATGTGGCTGGCTGGCACCTAAGTTGGGGATAACAAGTCACTTTGACAAGTGACACAATAGCCATTAATAAATTATACTGCCATGAGTATTTTTATTAACTTATTACTCCTCATTTCAGCCAAATAATTCTTGTTTTCTCAGTTGAAATATTGTATCTTTATCTTTTTTTGGGGTGTGACTTAGGGCATGGTTGTGGCTACCAAAAATTAGCTCTTCTACTATGCTAGAAGTGGCTGGAGAAAGTTGAGCAGAGGCTTTACCTATGGCCTATGGATTAGGCAGGGGTGGAACCACATTGGTTCAATTGAACCCACTTCATCGAAATTTTTTGTATATAAATTCTTTGTAAAGTTGTGTATATCAATAAAATTAATCCACTTTATTTACAATGGAATGGCGCGGATCAGTGACAAATGGGTTCTAATTCACCCCGTGAACCCGGGTTTGAACCTCAGTCAAGCCTTGATTTTTGCTTCTTTTTTTGTATTTCAAATCAGGTAGTTTTTCTAGATTAGACTATTATAGTTCTAGACTTCTAGTTTATGTGAAATAATAATAGTATTCTAAATTTATTAGTTAACTTTTCTTTTTATGTTTGTATTTGAAAATTATTTAAAATTGTCAATAATTTAGGCTATATGTTTATAGTTTTTAAATACTTTCTCCGATTCATATTATTTTATTATTTTCCTTTTTACACGCATATTAAGAAATCATAAAGAAGAAGATAATTTTACCAATCCACCCCTTAGAAATTTCTTGCAAAATTTACAAACAAATGTGAACACTTTCAAAAAGAATTAATTTACAAAGGGAAATATATGAAAAATTTGATTAATGCTTAAATTTCTTGATTTCGTAAGATGGACAACTACTATGAAGCAACTATTTTTAGTAAGATGATCAACTAATATGAGACGGGGGAGTAGTACTTAGTTTAATTTTTTGTAATATACAAAATTGTATATTTTTTTTAAAAAAAACACCTCTTTTTTTTATTGTTAATTTTTTAGTTTTAACTTTCCACATGCGTTATTCATGTCATGTTTAAGATCACAAATTAAAGGACACTTTTAGTACGTTTTACATATTTTTTGTTTATGACAAAGTCTTTTTTAAACTCTTTATTAAGTTAAAATCAAACAAACAAATTGAAACAAAGAGAATATGAGATACGGTATTAAAAAGAGTAAAAACAATTCAAAGAAAATGTACATTTGGGTAAAACTAATAAAATGTTTCTAATTAGTTTTAGAACATGAATATTCCTCATGAACAATTTACACGCTTCAAAGTGGAGCGCAACATCACAACACACCTGAATTTTTGAGGATTATGTCCAAAATATTAGGTCCCATTAATGAGTATGACATAAGGTTCTTGTTAGAAACAGTGTTAATGAGCGGTCCAATTATGTTCACAAAGCAAGATGCTTCTTGCTGCTAACATGGATGGATCCCCTCTAAGCAAAAAAATAAATGGATGGAACCCCACTTCATGGGCACAAATGACAATGATATTTTATCTAGGATTCACTATATTATTTGAGCTATTTAATTTCTTGTAATTATCTAGGATTCACTATTCTAGTCTCTCTGCAGGTTTATTTAAATCAAGAGCAATGTAAAGATACATATATATCAGGAAAATGTCGAAGTAAATCAGCCAACATACCATCTATGTTCAAGAAATATCATGTTTGTCAGTTACGTTTATGAATATATGGGAATTTTTCCTTACTTTGTGTATGGAAGTTATTTCTTATAATTTAAGTAAAAATGACTTCCATACATAAAGTAAGGAAAACAAATTCAAAACTATCCTTAAAACTCACTATCCGAAATGGTCCATACATGAAATCCGATCTTAACCTGAATCTTAATCTTGATTTGAGACCTAAATTTGATCTCAACCTCAACTCAAGACCACTCATTTTCCTTTTTTTTTTCCTCAAAAGAACATAAAAATATTTTTCTTCCTACTAAATACACTCTAAGAGGAGAAAAAAGAAAAGCAAAAGAATCTTGTACTCATTTCCCTACATAATAGGAAGCAATAAATAATATGAATACTATCTATTGAGTTTACGTTTACCCATTTTTATTCGAATTAATATGAGTAAAATTAAATATTTTGTTTATTTTCACTTAATTCATTTTGGACAAATTGATGTTAAACTCAACCCGTCCGCCTGTCCCCCTAAATCAACCAACTTATTTGCTAAGCAACCTTACTTCCACTCAAAAAGTATCGTATAATTAAGTGCGACGCGTGCTATTCACGAACCGGTTTGTGGGCATAGCATGAAATGGGCTCCACAACTCCTCTTACGTGGAAAATCTGAGAATTATACTCGAAACACGGGAGCAAAACCAAGCGTATAATACAAAGCCTTGTAGATATACTTATATTACATACATATATATACCAAAGAGGCGGGAAAGCTTAAACCCTAGTACCCAACCTTCAAGAAATTGGCTAAGCTTTCTGAGTTCGTTCAATCCAAAATATGGGAATTAAGGTATGTCTACGTAGAAATATAGTGTTTAATCCATCAACTTTACTCTTTCATTTTCATATACTGAACTGTTTCTTTGTGAATTTTAGGGTTTAATGAAGCTGTTGGCTGATAATGCTCCAAATGGAATGAAGGAGCAGAAATTCGAGAGTTATTTCGGTCGTAAAATAGCAATCGATGCTAGTATGAGCATTTACCAGTTCCTGGTCTGTACATTTACCTTATATGCATTCATGTTCAGAATGCGTTATATCTTAATGCCTGTCGAGTTATTAGGATAATTCAATGGTGAATTGTTGTGGTGTAGATTGTAGTAGGACGAAGCGGTACGGAAATGCTCACTAACGAAGCTGGGGAAACTACTAGGTATATTATGCTTTTTGGAACTCCACGACTAGTAGTACTATTTGTACTCTATATAAAATGAAAAGGAGCAACATTTTGTTGGCTATTTGTTTCTTTTGAAGAGTAAAGCAAAACATACTTGTGTACGTGCTGTTATGGTTCATTTAGATAATTGCTTATGTTAGGTTTGCTTTAGTTGGTACTACTTTGAATTTGGCATTAAAAAACTGTAGTTTTTATTGATTATAATGGCTATGTGTGTTTTCAGTCATTTGGTTGGGATGTTTTCGCGGACGATTAGGCTTCTGGAAGCTGGAATCAAGCCTGTGTAATTTGTTGCTTTAAGCGTTTGTGCTTTTCCTTTTGTCCCTTTCTTGCCTTGTTCCTCCTTAGTAATTCCCATGTCTTTATTAACAGTTATGTTTTTGATGGTAAGCCCCCTGATTTGAAGAAGCAAGAACTTGCAAAACGGTACCTATTAGCTCCTTTATATGTTCTTTGTATTATATCCATGAAATGCTGCCTGTTTGTTCATGTTCTCACACTGTCTTGTCTATGCAGTTACTCTAGAAGGGAAGATGCCACAGATGACTTGGCTAAGGCTACAGAGGTTTGATAGTTATATGTCTCTATGATTCAGTACCTCTTTTGGGCTTATTATTAACTGAATTTAATTTCCTGTACCCTCCACCACAGGAAAAGGGTTGGGAAAAGTGTATGACAAGTTCTATGTTTTTGGTCCACCTCTTATTTTTCCTCATTTGTGTGTTTTTTCAAATAATTGATATAGTTGCATTATGATTACAGAGTGGCAACAAGGAGGATATTGAGAAATTCAGCAAGAGAACAGTAAAGGTGGGTTTGTATAATTGTTATTCTAGGTATATTAGTTATGTAAGAGAAGAAATGGTGTTTGTCTGCTGCTCCTTTAATCTCATTGCGTAGTAGATGGTTAAAACCCCTATTGCTCTGTTATAGTTAAATTTACAACCAGATTCACAATTCGAGTTGGAAGCTTCTAGAAAGAGAAATTGAAGACGTTGTGGAGAGAATATTGAATTTGTATTAAGAGAGAAAGTGTTTACAATCGCTAATCTAAATCTCAACAAGCTGTACAGATGATTATATAGCAATCCTATCTGATAACTACCTCACCTAACAATGGTTAACTTAAGTAACCAAACGTCTAACTAACTCACTGCATGCTAACTATAAATGTGAAATGTGAAAATATCTTGTACCAACTTTAACTAACTCTAGTTAACTTGTATCTTGTATCATCCTATCCTGTATCAATTCTCATATTCTCAATAATCTACAAATACAAGATTTGTAAAACTGTACCGGAAAAGTCCAACAGCTTGAGATGCAGAGAGAACTAATAATGTCAAGAAAAGGAAGCACCTTTGTTTACCCATAATCTGTTCAGCGTTACTCTTCAATATTATTTTGTACAGACATAAGTTTAAGAAGCAGGTTGTGTCTATGCTCAAACTCCAAAAAATGTACTATCAATTTTTTTCTATTGAATTATGATTTACAACCTTGTTCAACACAGATTGCAGGTTCTGAGTAGAAAAGAAGTTTCAGAACTTAGGCAATAATTTTAGAATAGCTCTTTAATACTCTTGTACAATTGGCAAGGGTGTGCATCAATTGTAGCTACTAATATCAATGAAGTGTTTGAGATTTTGAAGAAAATGACTTCTTGTGAATATGGCATCTCGTTGTATAGCATGCTTTGGCTGATAAACCTCTCGAATGTTTCGGTTCTACCTTTTTTTTTTTTACATTGTAAATAGCCAAAACCTGTGGATATATATGAATGACGCATACCCAATTTTTAGGTTACGCCACAACACAATGATGACTGCAAAAAGCTTCTCAGACTAATGGGGGTACCTGCTGTTGAGGTGAGTTGGAAGTATAGACATTCTGGTAGTAGGGTGTCTTTTAGATGGTCAGTGGCATTCACTGCACCTTATGTCACGGAATTTACATACAATGGTATCTCTCCAAAGTATAACATTTGCCCCTGATGCAAGAAAGTCTGAATTTTTTCCTTGATGGTTTCCTTAGGCTCCTTCTGAAGCAGAGGCCCAGTGTGCTGCACTTTGCAAGGCAGAAAAGGCATGTATACCCTGTCAATTATTTAATTGCTTAGAACTATGTGTGATCCGTGTCCGATTTGGTCAACCGATTTTGGGTACTTTGACCAAAATAGATGGGGAAAGTCTGGACAGTTTTAATGATTTCTGGAATCAATACAAAAGTTAAGGTGAAATTGAAGAAAATGGAATACCTTTTATATAAAAATTTCTATGTCACTCCTTTTCCTTTGATCTCCTTCCAGGATTCTCCTCAAGTTCTCTACATACTATCTCATAATTTAGGTTTTATAACTCTATTTTTAGATATTTTAATTGTTTTTAGGCGAATCCCCTCACCCGTAACCAAAAATGCATCCATATCCCCAAATCTTAAAAATTAGATCCTGAAGGATCCGACCTCTAGATCCGCACCCATATCGGACACACGCACCCGAGTCCGAGCAACTTAAGGTTGGAATATCTAATCTTTATTATTGTAAATGATATATTTAAGAATTAAGGTCTACATTTGCACATATGCTATAATAAGCATATAATAAAAACTTCGGAGGTTGGGGTGGGGGTTGACAATGAAATATTTCTCTGAAGAATTATGATGTGTAATTGAGTCAGATTTTCCACTTCCAAGTCGCTCATTGGGCATCATTACAGATAGGTATTGAAAGAGTTCCTCTACTTGTCAGGTTTATGCTGTGGCCTCTGAAGATATGGATTCCTTAACTTTTGGAGCTCCAAAGTTTCTTCGCCATTTAATGGATCCTAGCTCCAAAAAGATACCAGTGATGGAATTTGATATCTCCAAGGTAAAATGGGCCTGAACACTTTTTTAGTTGATGTCTTGATGTCAAGTATATTATCTCTTGATTTATGTCTTATTGAAGGTATTGGAGGGACTTGAACTTAGTATGGATCAGTTCATAGACTTGTGCATTCTTTGTGGATGTGATTACTGTGATAGCATCCGAGGTACCATGCTTTTCAGTTAGATCTCTGTTTAAAAATCATTTGAGTATGCATATGCTACCTCGTGTTTCTTCTTCACTATCCGTAATCAGTTATGCTACAGTGTCATTTTCATTGTTTGCACTTTGCACAAGTTTTACCTAGGTCCTGATTTCTTATAATCAATCTTACATCAGCATCTAGGAGCCGTTTAAATTTCATGTGCTTATGCTTTACTTATGCTGCAACTGATATGGTTTGCGTGATTGGAGCAATAATTCTTGGTATCTAATCATCAATCTATGCAATAGGCATAGGGCCCCAGACGGCTTTGAAGCTTGTACGCCAACATGGGTCAATGGAGAGCATATTAGAGAATATTAACAAAGAGAGGTACTTCATTTGTTGTTTTATGGAACTGAGTTCATCGAGTATATATGCATGCATTCATTGGGTGTTATCTAGCTCTTCTTTGCCAACAGTCTTCAATTATCCAGAATACTGAAAAAATGAACATAATTTTTTTCCAGAAGCTAGTTAATTTCCCTTGATTCTCAAGGCTGAAAGAGTGATGAGATGTTGAAAATTTAGAAATTTATTCTAAAGGAGCTTGTCATATTTGTTAAGGGATTTCCACTTTTACTGCAATTACTACTGGAGACGATGGGTTAGCATTATCTGATGGACTGTACACTTCCTGCAGACAATAAACAATGTTCTAAAACATTTTGGCATACATCCTTGGGAAAGATTTTGAAATTTTAAGTTCATAAGGGTCCATATGTTGTTAGATAAATTATTAAAGAAACGGCAGTCTGGTTAAGCTCCCGCTACTTGTGGAGGCCTGAGAAGAGATAGTCACGTTGGATCTATTGTACACAGCCTAGACCTGGTTGCCCCTTAAGTATAGTTTATCTCAAAATATATGGTCTCTTGTGAAATTAAATTTTCAGAAGCCTCTAGAGCTTTGAAGTGCAACTCGTGATGTGTGGGTTAGGTGCATGCCATGGGTTTGGCGCAAACAAAAGCCTAGTTTTAAGTGGAGAAGGATAGTAGGATTGGCATTATCTACTGAGTTTTGAACCATACGGTTCTAGCCCTCAAGGATTTCTTTTGTTATTAAAAAAAAGTTAATTTTAAAAAAAAATCAAGAGAGAAGTATGCCAAGTAATTGACTTATTTGAGAACTCTCCCTCCTCTCTATCTTTTCTGTCTCCCTCTCACCTTTCCTTTGGGTTGTGGTTGGAGAGTGGGTGGACTTGACTGAAACATTATTGGTAAATTTATGTGGGCAGTTGAATTAACCATGATTACATCATATGTTGCTTAAAGTATTTTCATTGCTGATCCTATTGTAGATATCAAATACCTGATGATTGGCCTTATGAAGAGGCTAGGCGGCTCTTCAAGGAACCATTAGTTGTTACAGATGATGAGCAAACTGATCTAAAATGGGCTGCTCCTGATGAAGAAGTGATTGTCTTACCTGAGAAACTTTTGATTTTTTGGTTGGTTGTTAATAAATTTTAACAGAATCTTCATTTTTATATTCTATTCTTATTAGGGGTTGGTTAACTTTCTGGTAAAGGAAAATGGATTCAACATTGATAGAGTTACAAAGGTATCATTCCTTTTGCCACTATTTGACAGAAAGATTTCTTCTAGCTTTTTTTGAAGGATACAATTAACTATTTTGCATCTTGCTTTGTTCAGGCAATAGAAAAGATCAAGACAGCCAAGAACAAATCTTCTCAGGGGCGGTATGAATTGCTTAGAATAAATCTGTTGATGGTTAATAGTGTCGGAAAAAACTGTCGTTCCCTTAACTTCTTAAAATTGATTGGCCCTTGAATATTATTTCACCTTGTAAAAGCCTTTAATTTATGTACAATGTTCTAGTGTGTTTGTAATTCTTGCAGTATCTTCTAACCATGATCTTTTGCATTGTGAATTTGTGTTGTCTCATTTTTTAACAGGCTAGAATCATTCTTTAAACCAGTTAGCACATCTGCTCCAGTTAAAAGAAAGGTACCATTCATGAACTAACCCCACCCTCCCTCCAAAAAAAAGGCATTCAACTGAAAAATCTTTATTTAAGATTGCCAACATCATTGCGTTGCTTTCTCTTTTTGGTGATAGAAGAATTGGATGACGTTATCATTTATATGTTATATATGAGTAGGTCAGTTCACTTGATTAACAACTGCAAATTATGTGTGGTAAGAAGTAAGAGCAACACTTAGCTATGTTGTTTCTTCTTTCTTTTCAATCATATCTTATGTTGATTGTTCTTGGAAGTCAGGTATATCTCTTGGGATTGAATATTAATTTAGGCCATCTTTCATGTGTAATGCTTTTCTAAAATCCAAAGGTTTCTTTCTTTTAGAACACAAATTTCAGGCATAGAGCCTGTTTGGATTGACTTAAAAGTTGGTCAAACCTACTTTTATGTCATTTTTAGCCTTTGAGAGTGTTTGGCAAAGTTAAAAATAACTTAAAAATAAGTTTAAAATGGCTTAAAAAAGTTAAAAGTTAAAAGTAGGTACTCCCCTACTTTTCATTTTTCAACTTAAAAGTTACTTAAGTTCGACTTTTTAAAACTACTTTTAAAAAGCTACCTTTTTTAAGTTAAGCCAAATGGGCTCATAGTCTTGTCCTGAAAAAGTATGCCCATAATAGATACTTATTGAATTTGTCAATGTTTGTTTCAAATTTTAACTGGTTGCCACCATAACTTTTTGTACATTAGCTCATAAGGAATCCAAAAAGCATGCGTAGAATTTGTTAATATATGTTCCAAAATTATGACTGGTTGCCCCCATAACTTTTTGTACATTAGCTCACAAGGAATCCAAAAAGCATGCGTAGAATTTGTTAATATATGTTCCAAAATTATGACTGGTTGCCCCCATAACTTTTGGTACGTTGGCTCACAGGGGACTAAATGTGTTCTTGTATCTCCGATTCCTGTTACCAAGTTTAAGACACTCTCTTTACGATCCAGACCTGGTGTCCTTGGAAAGCTAATCTTCCCATCTTTAGAATTGGGGTTGAATTACTCCGTGCCGCTATCCAGACACGTCTGCTTCGGCATATGATGCTGTAAACCCCTCATGAACCTTGATCTCTAAGTTCTTGCCTTTCATAATACAAAATGCTCTAATTTAGGTAATACTTTTGCTAAGATTGTTGTGCTGAATAGTGAATTCTGAACCTGTGGAAAAGAAATTGATTGAATAAGGTTTGGAGTAATTGTTAATTCATGAAAATACAGGTGGTGCAGCTAAAAAACGTCCTCCTAAAAATTGCATCCCATTAATTAATTTTTGAACGCACAAACATTAATTTGGAAAGTAATGATTACATAAGTTGAGTTGGGGAGTAGGGTAATGATGTTGAGAACTAATACTTCAAAATTTCTTTAGTCTTTGTGCTGGAGGTTGTTTAGTCAAGGCCTAATACATAAACGTGCCCTTTAACTTGGCCTCAATTGACATTTATGCCCTCCAACTTTGAGTGTGTACAAGTAGACATTTAAGCTTGTATAAAGGTGAACTAGTAGAAACACATGCGTTTTGCATGGCATAATAAAATTCTATTAGAGTGTTATTTGTATAGGAATTGCCATGTAGGACGCGTTTGTTTTCTTGTTCAACTTTATGCAAGTTGAAGTGCCTACTTGTGCACATCCAAAGTTGGAGGACATAGATGTTAGTTGAAACCAAGTTAAATGACATGTTTATGTATTATGCCTTTAGTCAACATTTACTTATTGGTTTCGAAGGAACAATCACTATATTTTAAGCTAAGTATTCTTGGTATTATTTTTCTATTTGTGATGTTTTTTTGTGAAGAACGAAAATCTAGAGGAATTTTGCTCCTAAATGATGCATCTTTGGCTAAAGCTTGGATCTCGTTAAAATATGATGCCTTATCTGGTCACAGGAAACAGTTCACACCACTGAGAAAGGAGCTGCTAACAAGAAATCAAAGGCTGGTGGTAGTAAGAAGAAAAAGTAGTTAGCATCAAGTTAAAGCTTGCAGTGAAGTGATGGTTTCGTACCTTGGTCAGGCTAGATTCTTTGATCATTACCTATGTTGACCGTCTGCAATACAGATTCTGATGCGACTTCATAATTTTTCCCGAGTACCATTGTCCACTCATCAAGACTAATTGGATTATAAGATGTCGACTGAATTGAAGTGGCTAATGTGTTTCCTTTGGATTTTTTCTATACTTGGGAAGTAGTTTTAGAAATCTTTTTGGTTTCTGCACAGTAATTTGGTGTCCTTTCAATGCACCAGTAGGATGTGTAGTTTTCAAGATCTAGCTAAACCAGAGAATTGAAGTTTGTGTTTGAAGAAAGGAACACTGATTCGTAGTTGGAAATTATTTTTTTAAAATGCTGTTTTTCTTTTCCCTAATTTATACAAGTGAAGAAAAGAAGACGAATTGGACCATCTATCAGAAGAGGTTGATGTGCGTTTCACTAATTATTAACCTGCTTTAACTTGATGTTGGCTTAACCTTCATTTCTTTGGTTTTTGTTCATCAAAAGGATACACTAATGCATTGTGGTTTCTTTTATCTGCTTGGAAGAACAGTCAAGAATGTCCAGTCACATTGCTGCTTGCGGAGTCTTTGGTAGTTGGTGCCTCAATTTTGTTTGTTCTTCTGGAAGAAAATACACCGATTAGTCAGGCCTCGTTTCTTTTCTTCTGTACCTCTCCACCCTGCCTGGGTTTTTCAATCAATGAATGTATACATCTGGATTATCCTGGGTTCTCATCCTATGTGAATTGGCATTTCTGTAAGTTGCATGTACCATTTAATTCATAAAACCAATCTTAATCTAGTAATTGGCACAGTTGATATTGCAATGGTTTAGTTCTCTCGAGTCCGAGGCATTGTCTTGTCGCTGTGCTTTGGATCTACTGTTACATAACTGTAATGAAACAACTTAAGAATTGTAAATTGAGACTGAGGAAAGAACTCGTATTTTGGTATCTAGTAGGGCTTCCAAGTTTAAACGCAGGCGTGGAGCGTCAAGTCCAAACGAATTCTTAGACTTTTGTTCAGACCTGAAAAAGTTTCGAAACAAATGTTCATTAGCTCGGAAACACGTCCTACACAATAAAACACACTTAATGAGTACAAATTGATAGTGTTATTGCTCAAACATAATTTTAGTGTTGTAAATGAAAAAAATGTAGCTAATATATGTGTTTATAGAGCCTATCAACAGCTAGCTATAATAGATTTTAGGAGAGGTAGATGTAGGCCAAAGAAGAATTGATGGGAGGTGGTTAAATAAGACATGATACATTTTTAGCTTATTGAGGACATGATCCTAGATAAAAATGTATGGAGGTCGAGGATTTTAGACTAAAAGGATAGTAGGTAATTGAGTGTTGTAATACTTATAGGTGGAAGAGGTTAGGTTAGTTCCCTCTTCTCATCGTCTCCTTATTTTGTAATATTAGTTAGTATTCATGTAGTATCTTTCTTCAATTAATTTTTACTACTTTAGGTGCTTTATTTAATTTGTTCATCTTGCTATTTAATTTGTTATGTTATTTTTCTTTCAGTTCTATTTTGATTACATCTTTTTTGAATTGAAGATCTATATGTACTCTCTACCCCACAAAGATAAGAATAAAGTGTTTGTGTACTTCTAATCTTTTCCTGACTCTACTTATAAAATTATATCAGTTAGTATAGTTCTTGTTACTAACTACCAAGTTGAATCCTAATCTTTATTCGTTCCCTTTAGATTTGACTTTATTCGTCCCTTTGAAATGTCAATCACTTAATTCTTGATAAATTAGGCATATTAACTTCTCTATTTATAATAATATCTATCTATGTCTATCTATCCTTCATTATAGTACTAATTACTAACTACTCTAAAAGTGAAAACCTCAAAATGTCAAATACTAAATAGTGAATTATCAAACTACTCATTAAAAAATTGGTGATTTTTTAATCCTTTAGCTAGGTCGACATTACTCCTATAAATTTTTATATTAAAAATAAAGTTATTTTTTATTCAAATAATAGTTTTGTGTTAAATGAAATAGTAATGTTGGAATTGATTTCATATTCCAATGATTTCTAATGAATTTGGCTTCTTTCCATTTCTATTACCCTCATTTCTCAAATTAAAAAACACATTTGATTAAACTCATTCTATATTATATGCTCAGTAATAACAAACATATTTTTTTTTCTTTTTATGTTTTCTTTCGTATCTTTTCGGTAGCTACCAACTACGCATTTAATTATTTCTATGAGCTTCTGGCCTAACCCTATTCACACTCATTAATTATATATATATATATATATATATATATATATATATATATATATATAGTACATACCCTTTTCTTTTGTGCAAGTCAAATGGTGCTTCAAGATTGATAGAACATGTTAAATTTGAGGGTGTTTAGGATTTGGTGAAATATTGATTCAATTCGAAAATTGACTTAAACTGATTAGATAAATTGTTATGTTTAAACTTTGATTTGGTTTTGTTTAAAAAATTGTTTTGATTTTTTTAAAAATAAATAATATTTGATTTAAGTTTATTAAAAATATTCATCAAAAATTTATTTTACCATTAGGCGTTATGACCATTTTTTAGAAGAAGACATGAGTCAAAATCAATTTATGTAAAAACTAAACAATAATACCTATGAGATTTTTAACTAGATTTTAAAACTACTTCTCATCAACTTTGTTTACCCTATTCCAGGAAAATTATTAGTACCGTAATAAAAGTTAGTAAAGGCATAATTATAAGTTGTCAAAGAATGAAAAATTCTTTTTAATTGTAGAAAATGAAAAGAAAGAGAGAAATATTATTAGATTTCATAAAATTTGAAAAATCAAACCAAAAGCTTTTGGCCTAGTTAGATTTCGTACATCATTTTGATTAGAGTACTGTTTACTAGTTGGTTATTGATCAAAATCAAAACTAAATCAATTTAATCAGTTTTAAAACCATCAAAATCAAATCAAACCACCTATAATATGCATTTATCGGTTTGTTTGTTATCGGGTTCGGTTTGATTATTCGGTTATTAACCATACACAAAAATAAAAGAAACAATTTATTCAAAACGAAAAATAGTTAGGATGACTGACATTACAGAACTTTCGATCACTGAATTTACTATGAATAAAACTTCAAAATTCACTATTTTGGCCTAGAAGGGTGAGACAGTGACATTTTCAGTCCCACAAAGAATTAACATAGAGACTCGTATAAATAAAACCAATAAAATAAATATTCTCACCTTAGGCATTTTCGCTATTAATAAGTAAATTATAAATAAATTTTGATTAAACATATATAAGATCTTAAAAATTGTATATAAAAATAAAAGACTATGTCTATATAATAATAACATATATGTATATAATTTGTTGGTTCGATTTGATTATTTTTTCGAACAAAACCATTATCAAACTAAATACTATCGATTTTTAAAAATCTAAAATTATTTAAACTGTTTGATTTTTCAATTTGGATCGATTTTTATTCAAACCATGAGCCTAACCCTAATTTTGATTTTGCCAGTTAAGAACTTCTCACCTAAAGCTTTTCATACTTGCCTATAAATAAACAGCTAATTAGTTTCTCTTTGCTATATATCTATACAAATTAAATTAAACACACAACCATTGAATCCTTTAGAAAGATGTTTCCTTTAATTGTGGTAATTATGTCATTATTAGCCATCAACTCAGATAAAGCTTGTGCTGGAGATCCAGATATGCTCCAGGATATTTGTGTTGCTGATCTCACCTCAAGTAAGTTAAAGCTAAGACGCGCGTTATTCCAATAATATTGAAATTTTATTTGTAAATTACTCGTAATTTATAAGTGATGTGATCATGTAACAGCATTGAAGGTGAATGGATTTCCATGCAAGAAGACGTCCACCGCGGCTGATTTCTCTTCAATGGCCCTTTCAAAGCCAGGAGTCATTACCAGCACATATGGTTCCGTGGTCACTGGAGCAAATGTTCTAACTATCCCTGGCCTTAACACCCTCGGTGTGTCCATGGCTCGTGTCGACTATGCTCCTGGTGGTATTAACCCACCCCACGTCCACCCACGAGCCACTGAGATGATCTTTGTTTTATATGGTACATTGGATGTTGGTTTCATTACAACAGACAATGTTTTGTTCTCTAAGCGCATTATACAAGGAGAAGTGTTTGTTTTTCCTAGAGGACTTGTTCATTTCCAAAAGAACAATGGGAAATATCCAGCAGCTGTTATTGCTGCCTTAAATAGTCAATTACCTGGTGCACAATCTATTGCGACAACGTTGTTTGCAGCTACACCACCTGTCACTAATGATGTTTTGGCTCAAACATTCCGGATTACCTCTCCTGAAGCTCAACTGATTAAAGCAAAATTTGCCACTAATTAAGTAGTGAGAATTCTATTCCTCCACAAAAAGTTATGTTTAAGTTGGGCGCACGGTTGTTAACTCATGTTTTTCGGTTTAAAAGAGAGAGTTTTTTCTCTTTTGCCTTTCTCACCATGTAATAACTAATAATAATGTTTTCAATCGCCTATTATATTAGTACTCACTCTCTCTTCATTTTTATTTGTTACACACTTATTCAAAAAATAATTATTGATGTAAGTATTTTATAAAACTATTATATTAAATGATGTTTAGTATTAGATTTTGAAAAATAAGTATTTAATGTTGAGGGGAAAATATGGAAAAAATAATAATTGTCTTTCTTAATATGTCAAAAGTGACGAGTAAAACAGAAAATTTATTTTAGGAATAAGTGACAAGTAAAAGTGAACAGAGGAGGTATTACTCCCTCCGTCCCATATTAGTTGATCACTTTCCATTTTGCACGATGCTTAAAAAATCATAAATAAGAAGATGATTTTACTAATTCACCCCTTAAAAAACTGTTGAGAATTTTACAAACAAATGTGAACACTTTAAAACAGAATGAATTGCTAGGGAAATATAGAAAGAAAATTAATTAATGCTTTCTTGATTTAGTAGGGTAATCAACTAATATGGGACAACTATATTTAATATTATGATCAACTAATATGGAAAGAAAGGAGTATATAATTGTGGGAATGAAATATTTTTAAGGAATATTTGGAACCGCCTATTTCGGAGTAAACGAATTGTTTTCAAGTAGCGTTCAATCGAACTTAAATGCATGTGGTATAAAATTTAATCGTTCTTACTGTTTTTTACCCTCCAAAATATTTATTGTAAAGTTAATATATATTGACCATAGAAAGAAGCAGGAGAGAAAAGATCCTTTTGGCTTTGCCTTATTCACCACAATTTTTCTTTTTGTGAAGAGTATATATTTGTCAAAGTAGATCACTTCATCGTAAAAAACTAACTAGTCATTAATGATCAACAAACTAACACCTGTTTAAAATTAAAATGAGATATTTTAATGTCAAAAATACCTTAATAATATGTTTTAAATTACCTGTTTGTATATTGACAAGTGAAATATACAAACGGAGTTTTGAAATTTCCTAAATGTATAAATACAGAATTTGTATATACTTAACATATTTGTATATTCGCAAGTGAAATACACATATAGACAGAAATATACAACCGCAACCTTCATAGCAAAGAGAACTATAGCTATGGAATGTAATTATTAAAACTATAGCTATAAAACCTTATTATAACTACTATTATGTTTGCTATTTCTGAAATTTTCTCTTAAAATTATCTTGTATTTGTCCATCAAAAGATCTCTAGGGATCAGGCCGAAACAGTAAGAGTGAAAACAATTAGAAAGGCCTTAGCGAAACTTAATGAGGTAGCGAGTATTTGGATCAGGCCCAATAATATATAAGATTCGAAGGCCTTCGTAAATTGGACTTACATATGAATGGAAATACATTATTGGATTTCGATAGTGAAATAGAATTATGTAATCTATTAATTAGTCTTTCTTAAATTATAAAATATTCTCCGTTTTTAGGGTCAATAAAGAATCTACACTACTTGGATTATTTTTTTTGGTTACACATTTCCCAAGCCAAAAATTACATTTGCTAGCTAAATCTATATAAAAAAGTAAACATTAATTTATATTTAAATATTTTTTTTTTTTTTTTGTATATTAAGGTGGATAGGGTGTTATTCACAAACTCAACATAAGTATTCCCCATTGGACAATTTATTTATGAAAGTGTATGTATACCCAAAAATGGACCGCCCCTCAAATTGGATCAAGATATACTTTTTCAAGTTGATTCGATAGTGAGAGATTACCCAAGCTTTATTTGGCCACTCCCGAAGCAACTGTTTATGGATATTATGGAGAAACTCCTTATGAAGGAAATATATTAATTATATTTATATATGATAAATTGAAATCTAATGATAACACAAGTGTTAAAGAATGACAAAAGTCCACATCGGTGATTAATGAGATGGGTGGACTCCTTATAAGGCATGGACAATCCTTCTCCCTTTGAGCTAGCTTTTGGGGTGTGAGTTAGGCCTAAGACCTAATTTAACAACAAGGTCTTCCAAGAGTAGAATAATCACATTGTTAGAAGAGCGTTTTAATTGTTCTTGAGAAATAAGTCATACTCATAATTAACTAGGTTGCTTCTTTCAAATAAGGGGAGAAACACCGAGTCAAATAACTAAAAATATTTTCCGGCAACAAACACGGATCTAAGAATTGATAATATTTGTATAACACATGATTGATATTCATGAGATTAAATGTCCCCTTAGCTTGATATGTCCTCAGTTCCAAAACAACTGTAATTCTTTGTTTAATTTTTGTTATTAATTATGTTGAATTATTCTCTATCATTCTGATTTGACTTGGACGTAGTCCATTTGGAGGCCCTTCAATTATCTTTGCATAACGATTAACGATCCAGGGTTATCTGTCTAGGAAATGCAAGTTGTTTTGATAAATTAGGTATTAACTAATTATATATATTCACTATGTACTGTAAACAATTTATTATTGTCATAGTACTTTATCATGTTATCACAACTATATGCCTCTTTTGTTTCAAAGCTATTTAATTTCACTTATTATGAATAATTATCTTTTAAGTATATTTTGACAATTTCTTTTACACTGTTCATTACATATAACGATGTATACATAAACCTTATCTCTACGTTAGCAAAGACAAATAAATTATTTTTAAAAGATACTCGAGCAGAGTTAAATTCAAATTTTATAGTATACATATGATACATATTCACAGTTTAAACACTAGGTATAGACCATCTTTTATATTGATACTAAATACAGGTGCCCGTGTTAGCACGGGCTCAATATCTTAATATTTTTTATTTATTTTAATTTATGTGATATATGTAAAATTTAGAAAGTTGAATAAATTTAATATGATTTTTAGATATATAAGTGGTTAATTACTTTTTATTTGCGCAAATTTATTGTGAAGAAGTCCATTAAGATGCCTATAATTAAAGTATTTTTTGTCATCAACCGTTAATTCTTTACTCAAAGTAGTTACAAGATATAAACAAATATTACCGACATTCAAAATAATAAAGCAATAACTAAAAAATATGAATTTAAAACTAAAAGTCATAACCAAAACAGATTCCATAATTTCGAAAAAATTATACTAATTAAATTATAGTAGGAAAAAAAGATTTTTTTTAAAAAAAATTCCGAAACACGCTGAAGTAGGCACGTCGACTAAGACGTTCCTGTTTCAGCGTGAAATCTTTAATTTAAAACTAAAAGTCATAGCTAAAAAGAATTCCATAATTTTGAAAAAATTATACAGTAATTAAATTAAAGTAGAACAAAAGAATTAATTTTTTTTAAAAAAAAATTCTTGAAACACGCCGAAGGAGGCACGTTGATTTTAAAAGTCATAGCTAAAAATGATTCCGTAATTTCGAAAAAAATTATAGACTAATTAAATTAAAGTTTAACAAAAGAAATAAATTTTTAATTATTTTTCAGAAACATGTTGAAGCAGGCACGTCGACGGAGAACTAAAATTCAGAGCTAAAAAGGATTCTATAATTTCGAAAAAATTATACACTAATTAAATTAAAGTAGAACAAAGGAAATAAATTTTGATTTTTTTCCAAAACACGCTGAAGCAGGCACATCGATTTTAAAAGTCTTAGCTAAAAAGGATTCCATAATTTCGAAAAGATTATACACTAATTAAATTAAAGTAGAACAAAAGAAATTATTTTTAAATTTTTTTCCAGAAAAACGCTGAAGGACGTGCCTGCTTCAACACTAACTGTCTCTTATATAATAAGAGAAATTTGATATATATATATATCTGTAATTTTCACGTTCCAATTGAAGTCCAAGTTAAGGAAAATTTAAGGGATCTCTAATTAAAATATACCTTAGCTATACTAGTAATTTTTCAAAATCAAGTCAAATATATTACGTACTATTTACTGAATGTCAATAGAGTTATGTCATACCGTTTAATTGTTAGGATAATTAAGAAGCATATTTTATATCCTTCATTCTTAATGGACCATTTCAAATATTATATGCTAAGTAATAATTAACCAACATAATTCTTTATTTTTATTTTTAAGTTTTTATTTCGAGGTTACCAACTAGACCTTAATTATTCCTATGATGAGCTCCGGCATAAACTTATTCACACTTGTTAATTATATATATAATACCATTTTAATTTTGTGAAAGTCAACTTGTGATTATAGCTTGTTAGAACATGTCAAATTGTGATATATAATGAAGACTATTTCCTATTTTTAATTTCTTTTTAGTAAAGAAGTTCATTTCCTTAAAGAAATTAATGGCACAATGAGGATAAAACTTGATAACAACTCGAATAGATTATAGTCAAATTATTAACAATTAGCAAATGGCATGTTTCGTGCTCAAACACACAAATTATCTTATGTCAACTAAGATTCCAATTACATCAATTTGATTTGTCCGGCTTCTAATTCTCACCCTATAAATAAACTGCCTAATTTCTCTTTTCATTATCCATACAAATTTATAAAGCAACATTCAATCTTCTTTGTCCAATTCCAAATGGCTGTCTTTAGAAAAATGTTCCCTTTAATTATGGTAATTATGGCATTATTAGCTATTAACTCAGATAAAGCTTGTGCGGGAGATCCAGATATGCTTCAGGATGTTTGTGTTGCTGATCTCACCTCAAGTAAGTTCAGCTAAGACGCGGTTCCAATAATATTGAAAATTTATTTGTACGTAATTAATTAACTTATAAGTGATCTGATTGTGTAACAGCCGTGAAATTGAATGGATTTCCATGCAAGAATATGTTCTCCGCGGCTGATTTCTCGTCGATGGTTATTTCAAAGCCAGGAGCCACAAACAACACATTTGGTTCCCTTGTCACTGGAGCTAACGTTATGGCTATCCCTGGGCTTAACACCTT